TGGCAGGTTTCCTACCCTCCTCCTTTCTGCTACTAGCTCAGTGGTGACCTGAGCCAGCAGGGTTTCTGCTGTTTCTTGGAAATGTTCACATACTCAGCTCAGTTCCCAAGGTTACCATCAGAAGCTGCTGTTGTGGGTAGTCTGAGTCCCCAAAGCTGCCATTGACTCCCCAGAGTTCCTGCTTTCTTATTTCCTCCTCAGTTTCCTGTGGTATTGTTTGGAGAGTTTTCCGTTTCACCGTCTCAACTGCTGCCGGGCAGCATTGTTTATTTTTATTTTTCCCAGCTGTTTACTCTTCTTCTTTTTCTTTTTTTCTCTTTCTGCACTAAATCTGTACATCTCTAACTCAATGAGCTGTTGACAGCCTCAGAATCCCTGCTTCAAAGAGCTTCACTGAGTTTTTCAGGCATTAAGATGCTAGAGGGAACAAACGTGTAGGCTACAGGTATAACACCATCTTCCTACCCAAAACCATCATTGATTCTTAGTCACATGCTACCTCCTGAAATGGCTGAATGTTGACCAACATGTTTTGATACAGTGACTCTGTGTAGTCCTGCCATCTTCTTTAGATGTGTTCAGTATTTTGCTCATAGAATCCTTCAATATTGCAGCTGAAGGCTTGAATTTTTTGTTCAGTTATTTCTGCTTGAGAAATACTGATTGTATCCTTCCCTTTGGTTTTGAGTTTCTGCTTTTTAAAGGAAATGTTTTTAATGAGTCACTACTGAGTATTATATGTGCTATAGAATTTTGCATATCTATCATCTATCTATCTATGTATAGATATCCTTCTGCAAAGCTAGACATTTAGTTTCATTCTCCATTTACCATGTCTAATCATAGTTCACTAAGAAATTTATAATGCACTGCTTTTTTGGCATCTTATTGAGATTATTATATCTTTCCCCATTAATCTATCAATATGGGAAGTATATTAATAGAATTTCTAATACAAAAACAACTATCCTATATTCTGTTTACTAGTATTTGGTTACATTTTTTGAATCTATGTTCATGAATGAGATTAGGTTGTGATTATTTTTTTCATTGTATTTTTATTATCAGGCATGGTGCTTTTGCTTATCCCATAGAATGAGCTGAGAAATATTGTATTTTCTTCTTTGTTAGCTCAGGGTTAATTTCTGTCATCATGTTACTTTCCTATTTCTATTTTTTTTCTGTTCTTTTCCCATCTTTTAGATGTGATTGAGGTTTTCTTCTCTCCTTTTTTCAATTTGCTCATCTACTATATTTTGGGGGAGCTCTGGTAGCATAGTGCCTAAGGCACTTGACTGCTAACCAGAAGGCTGGCAGTTCAAACCCACCAGCCACTCCTTGGAAGGAAGGTT